ATATATATATTAGGGCTGTCACTAGACTCAATGTACAAACTATATATTAAAATATATAATGAAAAAACACATTATATATATATATATCAAACAACATTAAAAAGCTGTTACAATTTTTGGTGTTAACATAATTAACGGATCCCATGCTGTAATTTTGAGAGATTCAATGTTTATCTAACAAACTAGAATACATCATAATTTACTACAGCTTTTTGTTTAGCATTGCATCTTCATACACTGCAAGTTCAACACTGTTAAATGAACAGCATCTGCAAAATTCATAAATGTAAATAAAACTCCAAAGATCCAAAAATCGGCAGTTGGAAAAGAAAGTAAACAAGTTTATTTATAGTCCTCATGCTATAAAAGTCCGCTCACAAAAAAAAGTACCCCTGTGAATCACCCTCTCCCAGCCTATGAGCTCCTGCTTGCATTGTTAAAACTATATTAGGGCTGTCACTAGACTCAATGTACAAACTATATATTAAAATATATAATGAAAAAACACATTATATATATATATATCAAACAACATTAAAAAGCTGTTACAATTTTTGGTGTTAACATAATTAACGGATCCCATGCTGTAATTTTGAGAGATTCAATGTTTATCTAACAAACTAGAATACATCATAATTTACTACAGCTTTTTGTTTAGCATTGCATCTTCATACACTGCAAGTTCAACACTGTTAAATGAACAGCATCTGCAAAATTCATAAATGTAAATAAAACTCCAAAGATCCAAAAATCGGCAGTTGGAAAAGAAAGTAAACAAGTTTATTTATAGTCCTCATGCTATAAAAGTCCGCTCACAAAAAAAAGTACCCCTGTGAATCACCCTCTCCCAGCCTATGAGCTCCTGCTTGCATTGTTAAAACAGCAAAATGTCACTTCAGGATAAAATTGAACTGATACACACTAAATGCAATTAGTTTGGGCTGTAAGTGTCAAATCAGCTTTTTCTGAGCCACTTTACCGCAGTTTTAATTTCCCTCGTGGGCATTTGGTACAACTTCACACAAATTAAACTCCCATCATACCGCTGCACATTTCTTCTTATGTTTTTTAGTCTTCATATTAGCTATTCAATCTGAGCCTATTGCTCCACAACGTCCTCTCTTCGACTCCCCGCTTCTGAATCTCTTTACAGAGTGAACTAAAGTTGTCTGTTTGGTGTGGCATAAGGTTAATTATTAAATATGTAGCTGTCAGTCAAAGTTATCCCTCCTGAATGAGCTGCATCAGCTTTGGAGGATTAACCAGAGGCTGAGATGGATCATATGTGCCATCACTGTGTTCAGCACCAATAAGCATTTGGTTTATTTTAAAGCTGGGAATTTGACGCTTTTGCTAAATTCTAGCATTTTTTTTTTCTGTTACAAGAAACCTTCTGCAGCATGTAATGAAGGAACACATGGAATGCAGAACACATGCTTACACTAATATAGGCTAGAGTGAAGTAAGCCTGTGCCACTTTTTTTACTTAAAGTTATAGTTTACCCAAAAAATGAATCGAATTTAACATGAGTGTGAGCAAATGTTGACATGATTTTGACTTTTTGGCTAAACTATCCCTGTAAGTTTTCTTTAAAGGAATAGTTCAGCCCAAAATGAAAAAGCGGTCCATGATATATTAATGTCTTGTGAGGCTTTTTACTTCACAAGCTGATATGTGATGGACTGGATCGGTGTGCATTACTTGTTGATTGCTGTGATGTTTTATCAGGTGTTTGGACTCTCATTCTGACGGCACCCATTCACTGCAGAGGATCCATTGGTGAGCAAGTGATGTAATGCTACATATGTTTTAATGAAGAGACAAAGTCATCTATATCTTGGATGGCCTGAGGGTGAGTACATTTTCTGTCAATTTTCATTTTTGGGTGAACTATTCCTTTAAGTCCACTAGACCAGGCAATTTCAAACCAGGGTCAGAAAAAAAAATGTGTTCAAATGCAAAACAGTAAGAATCTCCTCACAAGTGGTCTGTGAAATATTGGTAAATATGTGAACAATTTACATTTCAAACAGAAAGTCTCATTTAATGTATAAATCAGCCAGGAAATGTGGCGAACACAGACAATGTCATCATTTTTTGTTGTAGAAAAACAAACAAAAAGTCCTTACAATCAAGTACCAGCACACGATGCTATTGGGGTGCAAACAGTCACTGTGCAATTTCAATCAATACCGATCCAGTATAAAATGCCTCTGAGGTTTCAGCAAAACTGTGGATTCTGAATTTACGTAAAAGAAAGTACAACATTCCAGGAAGCTACTTGCAAAGAAAACCACAAATGATTCTGTCTACTTTTGTATCAACTGTCACCGAGACATAACAAACAGACAGCTGAAACCGTCTTCAACCAGACGTTTCAAACAGCACTATTCATCTCCATAGTTCAATCTATTATCAGGCTGAAAACACATTTCTGTCAACCAACACTGGCAATGAATCTTTAAAATGAATTTTATCCAAATTATGCAAATCTTCTAAGGATATCCGACGCCCCACAGAAAGAACAGCTTCTGAATTTAAGCAAGTTCAATTCTCCATTGGCTCACAGACCATGTGGGCCATGAAATTTCTCTCAGGGCTGCAGCTGCAGAAATCTACTTTCTTTGTACCCTACTGCCTTTAAAGCATTCGAGCTTGTGTAATTTGGCACTGAGTACTTTCACTTCCTTTGGGCAACGCATCTACTCCTTGATGGAGGGGGGAATCTGCACGCTTACCCCCCAAACACTCTCTAGTATGACGCCTTGGGCATGGAAGCATGAAGAAATGTAATTAAACATATGTCAAATGCTGAAGCTTTGCAGATAGAGTTAATTACATTGTCACCTGTGAATTTACAGAGAGGGTGGCAACAATCGTGAATTGTAATTTCTGAGAGGGTCTCATATGCTAAAACAGCTCCATGCTCAATGAATTCCAATTACCTGAATACACTGGACTGTGAATGTCTCAACTGAACAAAATGAACAAGGCAGACACTTATTTGTCTCTTTTACATGTTTTTATGCGCAAATGTTTACATCACCATATTTCACTTATCTAAGGCAAATAATGACATGAGTGCACAAATACGGCTTTAGTAAGGATCTCACTTACCCTCATACCAAGTTCAATGTTTTCTCCTCCGTAAACCTCCATGCCCGGGTCAAGCAGCCCGATTTCTCCAAAATACTCACGATCCACCACAAAGGAGCAGCCAATCATTGCAGGTGTCCTGTGTACAAGAAATATACATGAACATTCATATTCAGAGAGATTGGACAGATGGATGGATAGATAGATAGATGGATAGATAGATAGACAGATAGATAGATAGATAGATAGATAGATAGACAGACAGACAGACAGACAGTGTTGGGAAGGTTACTTTGGAAATGTAATTTAAAATATAAAATATAAAAAATATTAAAACTAAAATATTTAAAATATAATAAGCAGTAAATCATAACAAGAAATAGTTTTATAGCTATGATACTGTTTAAAAAAAAAAAAAAAAAAATCTTTGCATAGCTATGACAGGAAACACTGCATCTAACAATGCCTTGGAAAAAACTGTTAATCTTAAAAAATAAAGCATATGCATAAACCCAAATAGGAAATAAAACAAACAGTTTTTCTGTGAAAAACAACTATTCTGTGTCCTTAAGTCCTGAAACATTGGTGTCTCATATTTTAGAGCAGTCAGTGAATTTTGGGAAATAAATAAATAAAATCTGTATGTGGGTGTGTGTAAAAAAAAAAAATCAGATGTAATCCCCTTTGTAATCTTTAATATTTTCATAAGTAACTGTAATTTAATTACACATTTTTTCTCAGTAACTGTAACTGATTACAATTACATTTGTTTTGTAATTGAATTACATAATTCCGTTACATGTAACTAGTTACTCCCCAACACTGTAGATAGATAGATAGATAGATAGATAGATAGATAGATGACTCTGAATATGGCTGGGGAAAGAAGTGCTGATGAATTAATAACTCTCAGAGAGAAGTCGACTGGAAATCATTTACAAATCAGAGGTTGCAGAATCTGCCCTCTCACAGAGCATGAAGAATTTCTGTTGAGTGGGAGTGAGATGAGCCAGAAGTCGTATGTAAAGTAGAAACTTTGCGTGTTTAAACAGAAATACACACCACTGACAGACTGTGCGGTGAGAGTAAACAGGCATATAGTAGAGAAAAGTGTTTATTTGATTTTGTAAGTGCTACTCTCTTTCTTCCCACTCTCCCTGTATTCCCACTTGGTTTCTTGCTCTTCAGCGTGTAATATTAAAACAGGTTCACATATGGCAGTTTGCTGAGATGGCAGTTGTCCCTGGTTTCTCAGGTCAGAGACACACTCAATTCAAAACCCTTTTCAAGAAGTTCAAAGTAAATGTCACTCTGACAACCTTGGAAACAGTAATGATTAAAGGGGTCATATGATGAGATTTCAATTTTTCCTTTCTCTTTGAAGTGTTACAAGCTCTTGGTGCATAAAGAAGATCTGTAAAGTTGCAAACACTAAAGTCTCAAATCCAAAGAGATATTCTTTATAAAAGTTAAGAGTCAGCCACGCCTACCTAAAACGGCTCGTTCTAACACGCCCCCACATACCTACGTCACGATGTGGGAAGATTTGCATAACACCGCCCAAATGTTCACGCAAAGAAAAAAGGCGTAACTTTTATTCTCGCTGTAGTATTGTTGCTGCCGCCGCCATGTCGTGAAGACGCTGTGTGTTTCGTTGTGAAAGTGAAACTACTTTGTTTGGCCTTCCAAAACAGGACGATATCCGCTTCGTCATGCTAAGTTGTATTTACAACACTGTTCCAGAACAGTTCAACCCAAATATTCAGATGTGTCCAGCGCATTTTATGGAGGACTGTTTCCTGATCCTGGAAGAGTAGACTAC